AGCCATTCCAATTATTCACTGGCCAGATCTGGAGTATGGAAAACCTGAGAATAAGGCTGAATCACCAGTGATGGACTAATACAATAATGGTAGGAGAGGTTTTTTTTATACTGCTGACTGGACATTCCAAAGCCAAGTTAAACAAATGTGGAAGAATGCAAAAACAGAGGTACATGTTAGTTCAACTACTGTGTGAGAAAGTTTAGCTAAAATAGGAAATAAAAGCCATTAAACAAGTTTGGTAGCATTAAGCAGCCTACCCAGTGATGGATCAGACAGCTTTTTTTCAGCATGTGCTCCAAACATGAGCATCTGTACATTCTACCTCTCCAAATACTCTGACCAAACCCAACAGAGAATTTACACCACCAGCCACTCTATTCATCCCTTAAAGCAACACTGTAACTTGGAAGAGCGCCCTCTGCAGCCACACGTGATGATTAATTCTGATGGGCTCAGTGCTCCAGTAATTAAGCGTTTTTTGTGTACAGAAACCACAACTCAAGAACTTTGGCATTTATGGTGAAAGTGGGAGTGAAAGAGGCTCCATTCTCTTTATTCCAAGTCAGTGTACAGTTCAGTCTTTGGAATTTTGAAGATGCTACTTTAAGGCAAAAAAGAAAAACAATCTAATACCCAGAGTTTTCTGGACTTCTGAAGACATTTCTACCCATGATTCCTTTTGTCAACAACAGGTTAAAAATCCAAGCTGGTGGTTGCCAGAATAGATCCCACAGGAAACAGTAAGATGGCATGGTCCTCCAGAGCACTGCCTTAATGATATCTTACAATAACCATTTTATCCATTTTATAGATCCACACTGAAAAACAACCCTGCAGCCTTCATATAACTTAGCTTACACATAAAACATGCACATGTATCCTACACACACCCTTGACTGAAAGATATGCAAGGTAGATGTTACTCATGGGACATGAGAGATTTTAATTGGCTGCCAGCGCCCGGATGTGTGTCTGCAGCTAAGCTCACTGTCTGCACACTCACCGGATCTGATGGCCGGTTAATAAGTGCTACAAAAGGCTTGAGGAGGGACGTGTACATGCTGGAAAAGCCAGACACCAGGTGTACAATCTTTTGAATTAAGGAGTTGACACAATGTCTTTGCCAACTCCCTCTCCACAGATAAGATTAACACTGGACCAAATATCTGTTTATCAGAGGGTAAGGCCCTGACAATGGCTCAACCAAATCTAAACCATTTATTCACTACAAAAAAAAAAACATCGTAACTGTCAAATTGTGTGGTTTTTACAAGACTACACAAATTATAAGCAGTCATGAAAATATAACCATGGTTACTGCCAACAACTTGGGATTATACTGTGCTCTCATCAATTATGAGAAAAGACAAAGTCTGTGTTGATCTTACAAATGTGCAAACATTAAAAACTAGATAATTCCAACACCATTTTATTTTTTTGTCTTTTGTATCTCCCCTTTAGGGAGCCAAATATTTGTTCAATTCATAAAAAATAAATGATAGATTAATAAGTAACAAAAATATGTTTTTATTGCATCCCTGAAATGGTGCTTCATGTATAATTTAAAGTACTTCTGCATGGGTGGGTTCCAGTGTGATGAAACCCTAATGTCTGAGCACCAGCAGCCACAGAACCATCTAGAAGTCATGCCAGCACAAAGTAGCTGTGCAGCACCCAGTAGTTAGGCCACCACTGGCTGGGTTATTGAGGACAACCAGGGCAGTGATTCCCATTCATGCATATGTGTCTATTCTCTACATTGCTGCAGAGAATTCTACATTAAAGGAGCTTCCAGGTGCTTTTCCATGTTAAGAAATGAATCCAAGTGGTTTATGCTGTTAAGGGTATTTATACTTGTCTGCTGTTGCATCTGCACCACTCTGCAGTCACACTGCCAAAACTCTAGTTGGCAGTGGGGTTTCTATGTCACTGTAATGTAGACTACTTCAAACTATGTTAACTTAAACTGAGTTAAACAACAGCTTCTACTACTGAAAAAGGGACATACTGTGACTTATGGAGTAGCTGCGAGTGTGGTAAACTCTAATATGATCACCCAAAATTGGGAGTTTATGCGACTGACGTTTTTGGGCTCCCATCTGGTTTTGATGGGGCTGAAGACGAGTGAATCGCAGAGTAGCTGAGCCTCAGCCTTTGCCATCTATAATATTAGCTGCTATAGAATATCACGGTATGGAGATGAGGAAGTGAATTGAAGATACCAGGCACTCCATTACTCCCCGCTTGGACTCTTTTGAAAACTCCCTTACTCTCGTGCAAAAGGAACAATCAGCTGTTACGGAGAAAGTGGAGGGGCTTGTCAGAACGGTAACAAACCAAGATGCTGGTCCGGATGCTCTAAAGAGGTCCTCTCAGGAGCTACAGGCAACAAACAGTTCATTTTGAAGATTGTGGGAGTCCCGGGAGGTGCGGAGAAGGGGCGCCCAGTGGCTTTTGTTGCTGAATTGATCATATAATTTTTCTGCCAAACTGTTTTCTTCAGGCTGGCTGAAGTGGACAGATCCCATCATATCCAGACAGAATAAGAATAATTCCAGTGATGTTTCCACGTGCGTTTCATCTAAATTATATGAATTGTTGTTTTCTTTACACTAAAATGGGCCCTTTATATTTAAATACTTCATATTTAGTGGTTGCAATTGGAATCTAACACAGCAAGAAACAGCTCTCCGGTTTTCCACTAAGGATGTCCATATCTAGTTGAAGATAAATTTGTTCTGCAAATTCACTCAAAATTTTAAAAGGTGCTCAAAGCTCCTGAATATTCGTAACATTCTACCATTTGTTTTAGTTATAAATTCATTCCATCTCAATCTGATCAGGCTTTTATTTACTGGAAGGATAAAGGACCGACTACTATTGCAAACTTGTACACAAATAATAAATTATCCTGATGCCCTGGTTAGTTTGATGAAAATAATAATCAGTGAATGGAAAGCTTCCAGTGCTCCATTTCTGTATCCTTGAGAGAAATCGTAATATGATAATAATCTCTCTGTTTTTGTCAATGACATGACACTAATACAAAAAGAGGAAATGAGAAAAGTCTCTGTTTTTGCAATTTTGCATGAAAATCAATAAATCTGATTACTAAATTGTTATTTTAAATCGACTAGTCTGTTCATCACTCAATTGTTTCGGCTTCTATCAATTCATCAAGTGCTGCAAACATGTACACTAAACGTCATCTCAGCGTTTTGCCTTCAGCACTAAAGGAAATGGACAAGATATGGTGTCGATGTTTTCTGCATCACACCGGTGCCGCCATCTTATTTGTGATGAAGAGTCTTCTATAAGTAAACTAGCACTGTTGCAGACATTAAGTTTGCACCTTCACTGAGATTTGATAATCACTTCATTAAAAAGACACTTTCTGTGACTTAACTGCCAAATATGGTGTGTGTGTGTGTGTGTGTGTGTGTGTGTGTGTGTGTGTGTGTGTGTGTGTGTGTGTGTGTGTGTGTGTGTNTGTGTGTGTGTGTGTGTGTGTGTGTGTTGTGGGGAAATTGGTTTCACAGACATTTAAGGGGGCATCTGGTTTGAGGAAATGACAAGGAGAGATGTTGACGAGGAAAAGCTGCCAGGCCTGGCATTAGACCCACTTAGCACAGCACATAAACACACTATTCAATTTCATGACAGTTATTGTAATGGAGCACTTCTTCCAAAAAAAGAAGGACGACTTTCACTTCAGAAAACCCCAATTTAAACTAACAATCTGTAACTGTTGCTCACTTCAGGTTGCACGTGTTCAGTGCCAGAACAATACTACAGTCACTGCCATCAGTTCTAAAAGACTCCCTCTTAAATGACTACTCTCCTACCGCAGTTTCATCCTGCGCTTTAACTGTTAGTTATTAAGTTAGCTTGGTGACAGGCGCAGTGGGGTGTTCACTGACAAAGGCAAATGTTAACCAGAGGAGCATGAATGCAAAAATAAAAATGTATCTGCTCAGAAGGCAGCATGTGACATCTTCAAGAACCGTTTAAGAAGCAGTGTTCCGTAAATGGAGAGGATGCGTATACTTGGTTCACCTCCTGCTGTGAAGCTCCTTGCGGTCTTTGGTTTTCATTTGCAAAGAGCTCTTCAGAACATCTGACTCTCCTGCTGGTTTATTCTTCTACACACACACACACATTTAGTGACCAGGAAGGAATATCTCTCTGCCACGATTCCCCAAGCTGTCTATAACTGTCTTCCTTCCATCATTTCAAGCTAAATAAAGATGGGGTATCCACTGGAAAGCACCTCTCTTCTGAAAGCCCTACCAAATGTAATATTTCTTTTGGTGAGAGCCATTGCCTGCATAAGACTTGGTCAACACACACACAATTACTAAAGGGTTACTAGCTGTGGAAGGAATCCTGTTTATCAGACACAAAAAGAACCACACTGACCAGAGGAATATTGCCTCATATCGCACCAAAATACACACATCTACAGTAGGAAGATGATTTCATTGAACTATAGCTGTTCAATGTTAACAGTATTCAAGCCAAGTGTCTTTTTGGGGTTTAGAATGCAGATATTCTGCCTATTCCCAAAAGATTCAGACTGGCATGCAAAAGATTGCATATTCTTTAATATTAGATAAAGGTCCAGTGTGCAGGATTTCGGGGATCTTTTGGCAGATATGCCGTAAAACAAAATGTTTTTGTTAGCTTCCCCAGAGTCTGCCATGTTGTATCACCATGGTTCTACAGAAGCCCAGTATGGATAAAACCAAACGCCAACTTTATAGAGGGCTGTTCTTGTTTTTATGTTACTTGAAGGCACGTAAGTTCTTCTAAGTGCTTGATAGAGGAAGGTGAGGCAAGGGGTATTCAGTTGGTTCTAGCTGTGAGGCTAGATGACACTGAACCCTACACAATGGACCTTTAAATAGATAACAGGATGTGCCAGGATAAAATAAATTAATCAGTTTAGCAGAGAATGAGACCCTGCTCTATATCAGTTTAACCTGTGAATGGGTTACCTTGCAAACAGTGTCTACATCCCAGGGTAGGATGGTCTGTAGATCGATGAGCTCACATGACACTCCCAGTTTCTCTTGGGCCAAGTTGGCTACCTCGCGCATCACATGGATCTACATGGAAAGGGAAAGAAATACTTTAAAAATGCACAATACTGGCATTGCTTCACATCGAGTATTGCATTTGAATAACAAAATTGACACATTTGCCTTAGTTTTTCTATTTCAATAATCTGAAATTCAACCTAATGTCACATCAGAATCAGAAATACTTTATTAATCCCCGGAGGGAAATTAAAAAAACACATGGGCAAATTAAAATAAGCCACCCAGATGGGAGCAGTGTAACTGATAAAATCCTGCAGATACAGGTCAGGGGTTTCAGTTAATATGCACATCAAACACCAGTATATGGGAAAATGTGATCTCAGTGATTGTGATCATGGCATGATTATTAGTACCAGACAGGCTGGTTTGAGTACTTCTGACATGGCTGTTTACAGTAAGGGGGCCCATAGGAATGGCTCTGGTTCCTCACCCTCTACACTGAACACTTCTTTCCTGTCACCTGCAAAAGTTGTCTGAGGACTCTGCAATTATCTGAACAGGGAGTATAGAGAACTGATGCAAAACTGGTGCCTGAGGAAAAGTGGCCAGATCAACATGGAAAAAAACCCCAAAGTGCTGGTGCTGGATTTCTGCAAGGGTAGACCATCCTCTCTAAAACTGGTGAACATCCAGGGGATGGATATTTTGATGTTCACATCTGAACAATAAACTGGACTGACAGAATGATACAATTGTAAGTTAAGAAAAAAAGGGGCCAGAACAGACTGTGTAAGAGACTCATTTGAAATATGAGGTCGGCCCTGGAATACCCACTTGACCAAGTGGATGTGTTGGGGAAAGGGATAATGATAGCTAAGCTTTCTGATGGATAACCAGTCCATACCCTCCATCACAGCACTGGGTGGCTGATTGATCCACCTAAAGTGTCTGAAGGTGAGGTGTTGCAGGTCATTCCTTCCCATTGCTGTCAGACTGTACAACTAGCGCTCCTCTCTGGGCAATTTTTGGGACTCACATTACAAATCCACTCAGGGAAACTTCAGAAAACTTTGCAATACAAATATTTACTTTGTACTGATTTTTGTTCAACTTTTACTACCTGCAGTGGTTCAGTAACATGGCAAATTCACACATAGTGGGACAAATATAGGATTGTGTCTTATCTTGTCTATTTATCTCAACTGTTAATCTCCTGCACAACAATCTTCTGCAGTCTACTCAGAATGGTGTGAAAGAACTGCAGTAATGCAGACAGAAACACATTTTGTTGAGGTCAGAGGAGAATGGGCAGACTAATTTGAGCTGACAGAGCAATTAATTAACTTAGATAACCTCTCTTTACAGCTGTGGGAAACTGAAAAGCATCTCAACACACATATTGAACCATGATCTGGGTGGGCTGCAACAGCAGAGACCACGTCAGGTTCCACTCCTGTCATCCAAGAGGAGAAACATGAGGCTACAGCGGGCTCAGGCTCAATAAAACTGCACTGTAAAAACATAAACTGGTCTGTTGAATCTGGATTTCTGCTGAGACACATTGATGGTGTGCTCATAATTTGGAACAGCATGAATCCAGGGCCCCAATCTGCCTTGTGTCCAGTCCATGCTGCTGGTGGTGAGGCAATGGAATAGGGAATGTTATCTTGGCACATCTTGCGCCCGCTGATAACAAACAACCACAGCCTTTCATAGTATTATTACTCAACATCTTCATCCTTTTACTCAACTTACAGTGTACTTTATTTCTAATGGCTACTTCCTGCAGAATGACCCTCCATTTATCAATGGGAGATTGGCTGCATGAATTAGCAACAAATAAATCACATGTTGACATGGAGCAGAATCTTAAAGGAACATTTCAACATCTTCTGGAACCAATGACACGAAGAACTGAGGCGGCTTCAGGAGCAAAGGGGGGAACTAGTGAAAGGGACCCTAGTATGGTGCTAATAAAGTTTAAAAGACAATTTATCTCATCTAATAATAATCTAAGAATTGTTTCCTATTATAGTTTTGGGATCCATCAGTGACTACAAGAGACTGTATATAAGGTTGGACACTATCCACTTCCTCACAGCATCCACTACCTGTACAGATTGTAAAGCCCTCTGAGGCAAAATGTGTTTTGTGAATTTGGGCTATACAAATAAAATTTGATTTGATTTGATCCAGAAATGACGCCCAAATATCCACTTGACCAGTGTGGGGGAGGGTTTGTGTCTTATTCTTAAGCCAGCTAACAGGTAGCAATTAAGACACTTTGACCTCACTTATGGGGAACGAGATGTCATCCATCTATAAAAATAGTCAATGGGGTCTTCTAAGTAGTACTTAGGTTTTTTTAGTCTGTGCTAACTGATGGGCATCACTGGCTGCGTTTTAATAAGCATTGCTGTGATAAATCTTTTTCATCAACTAGAAGAGACAGTTTTCAGAAGAAACCATCAATAACTGAAGAAAATTTATTTTAGAATGCTGCTTTTACATAATTATCTACATGCAGATACAATAGACTTTGCTCAGGGAATAAAACATTAATAAAGAGTAGAAATAAAACTTCCTCTGTTTGAGTGATCTGAAATCTTCACTGTGAGGACTGGGCTTGGCTCTTTTTACTCCTGACACACGAAGGGAATAATGAGGTGGGAAAGAAGGGTGCCACTTCAAAGAAAGGAGAGCCATGCTTTCCACTACTTTACTGGATCCTCTTTCTTCTCTGTCTGCCCTTCAACAATAATACTGGCTTTGATGGAGACGTTTTGCCCTTAACACCCTCCAACATCCCTCCTATTTTACCAGGTTCATTATAGCACGGATAAGCCTGTTTAAGTGTCTGGGCACAATCGAAGTTGGGGATGACTCCTGGTGAGTTACAGGCACCCTCATATGGAGCTGCGCAAAAAAAAATCTCTTGGATGAAAAGAAAGGCAATAATGGAACATGTGCAGCAGACATGTAGTGTTCACATGTGGAGAGCCAAGAACAGCTTTGATGTTGTAGAGATGTCTGAGCTGATACAGCCAAAGACTGCAGGCTGAGAGACCCTGCTGGGACAGAGGGGGCTTGTGATGGACTTAAAGTTAATCCACTGCTTGCCTCTCCAGCTTTAGACGTCTTTTTCTCAAAACCAGATTGGGCTCCTTTTTTTCCTGTGGTTATGAAAAATGATCCAAAGGGAGATGACAACTTGGAACTGCTCAGATCACCCACTGAGACTGTGTTACTGATGCATGAGTTAGGATCACCTACCTGTGTCCCCCAGGCTACCAGAGTGACATCACTTCCTTCCTGTAGGATCTCAGCCTGCGACAGTGGGATTGTGTAGGACTCCACCGGAACCTGCTCCACTGCGGAATCACATCAACAACAACACATTTAAAAACATTAACATTCATCAATATTAATATCACAATGTGTGCCAACAAACTGCATGTGATCTTGCATGAACAAAATCTTCAAGGGTTGATTCTGCACACATTCAATCATGTATCCTGTGGTTTTCATGTAAAATACTCCAAACTGAGCGTACCTCTAAATACTAGACTAGATGACAAAGTGCTGAAATGATAGCCGGTCAAAGAACATAAATTCAGACTCTAGAACATTTTAACTGGCCCGTTTTCAAATGCCTCTTCACGCTTTTTCCAGAACCTCATCCCACACCAGTGGCCGAGTGCACTTTCATCACCACACTCGAGTGCATGATCTAATAGATAGAATTCTGCCAGTTACAAGCTCAGAGGTCTGACTTATCCTGACAACAAAATATTGGTAGGATGGGATATCAGTCAGAAAAGGGGCCACATGAACCGGACTGCGGTCCAAAAAAAGGCAGACCAAGACAAAGTGCATGTAAGTACATGGTTGGAATAATTGTTAATGTCTTGGAAAACTGAGGCACAGTCATGGAAATCATTACAATGAACTCAAACTGCCATCACTGTTAAACATGCATCATATTAGCAATATTTATGCTGCACAGACAACAAATAATCACATGAGTACAATTGTAATTGTCTTTAACTGTAATTTACTATTATGGCTTTGGCTGAAAAACGGCTAGAGCATAAGACCTTTAAGGATTCTTACATGGCAACACATGAAGTCAATATCACAATAAGTGAGTAATTACACTCTGCAGAGACCTTTCTGGAAACCTTGACTCCCATGATCCTTTCAAGAAATTGAGAGCCCGTAGGGGAAAATAAAACAGCTCCATGTCTCGATGGCTTACTATGTTAAACCAACATAAAGGGTTTGTGTGAATCACATGCAGCTCCTGGTTTAGGCTTCCAGACGAGACAGAAAATAGGCCACATGGTTGGAATAATAGCACTTTTTGGAATGTTAAAATTAAATTATGAAAACTAGGTTATGGTTTAATAAGTAGAATATCTGTCCCTACAAAACCATATGACCATGATGATAGAAAGTTGTGGCTTTTATCCTTTATTCGCAAGAGAAGAGAGAGGGCTGCTACAATTAAAAACATGACTTCATATAATCCAGGCGGATATCATTAGAGGCATGTGGACCTGGCACGACAGTGGGTTTGGTCTTTGCCTTCAGGAAATCAAAATAACTCCTGAAATACGACCATGAGTAAACACTGTGCAAGATGGATAAGCGGGTTTTCATACATCTGTCAAAACATACAGCATTAACAGCGAGATAATCAGAAACATAAGTTTCAGGATGAGATAATGAGAATGGAACCATAAAGTGAATCCATTCATTTTAAAGTTAAAAAAAGCAGAACCTCGACTTGACTGATCGACCCATATCTTGTCAGACCCCCTTAAAAATGTATCCAATATATTAAATGATTCCAAATGGAAATGCTGCAGAAAATAGTAGAGTGGCTTCTCTTCTTAAATGCAGCATATAACTGATGTACTATCTCATCACTGCCCCAAAGGGCTAATAAACAAATACCAACTGAGTAAAAACGCAAACAAAAGCACAGCAAAGAGCAGCAGCTCTTGTTTACCCTGTTGAACCACATCAGTTTTGAGTCATGACACTTCATAGTCATAATGATTCTAACACACATGATCACAATGGGACCAGTCTATGCAGCTGAAGCAAACATAGCTTTGACCGATTATAAGAACACAGCTGTGAGGTATTAAAGACATCAGTAATGATAAAACAAGAAGGTTTGCATATCTGCTTTTATCTCCCTATCTATCTAACCCCTTATCCGATTTCCAATAATATCAATTTACTTTTAAATGTGCTACTTTGGCTTGGATGCAGCTGCCTAGAGTTGGGGGTGGTGGGCGGGACATTACTCGAGACATCTGATTTGTTAGACGTCATGACTATCAACACTGAAGGCCACTGAAGTGCAACAGACCAATGCAGAGGAACGCATTTCAGACTGTAGCAACTTTGGTCACGGAGTGGAGCTGTATTTCAAAGGTAATGCCCGGGCCACACTGGCTGCTGTTGCACACACACTTGCACACACGCACTGCCTACTGCTCATCACCTGTAGTTCTTTACGTTAACTTTAAATATAACTACAACCTTAGTGAGGTTTCTGGTGTGATCACTGTATTTCCTTGTTTAAAAGTAATCCTATGTATTCAAATAAATACTAGTACTATACAGTATACAAGCCTTGCATCTTCCGGTCCTGCACACATTTCACAACAATAACCCTTTTTTAAAAATGAATGGATTCAGTCAACAGAAACGCTGGAGTGCTTTTATTTTCAAACGGTTGGCAACAGGAAGTGTTGCAAATATTTCTTTTGAATATATTCAACAGATAAGTATTGAAACTATGATGAAAAATCATTTTCTAGGTTCATTCTGCAGCGTATGGTACACGGAAAAAACTTCAAAAAGGCGAGATCTCGAATCACTACAATAGCAGTGCTGCTTCCGCAGCTGGTAGCAACTCTGTTTTCTGCACCAATATCTGGTTCTGTTAAATTGCAAATACTGATCAAACTCAAATTTCAGTACAAAGTTTTACTGGTTTCATTTATTTTAACTTCGGGGAGCTATTTTGTTTAATTATTGATTTTATTGATTTATTGTTTCTTTATTGATTTAAGTTAACATCAGAAGAATGCTGCTGGGAGCTCCCTACACTTTTTATTTTTGGAAATGCAATTAATTTGCTTAATTGCATTTCGAAAAAATGTTGTGCTGGAGTTTGTGTTTAATTGTAAATTTCGACACCTAGATTCAATTTTTTGCTGCAAATGTATATCGGTCTCTGCCCTGAAAAGAAATGGCACTATTAGAAATATGCCAAATTAGCCATTGGCAGTATCCATGTGTACTGTTCCCACTGATATGCAGAAAATTATCACTGAATTAAACTTACATCGAGGAAAAAAAAAATTATGACTGACACGGAGTTTGAATTTTCAACTAATGCTAATGCTTCATAGATAGATAGATAGATAGATAGAGTACTTTATTCATCCCCAGAGGGAAATTAAGGTCATATCTCTTCTGCGTGCCTAAAAGATTGACAATATCTGTATTACTGCATAGCTATACAAAACCATATTAATCACTGTCGTAGTCTACAGTTCTAAAGGCCTGGTCACTTTCGAAATTACAACAGCAAAGATTTGAAGGAAATCCCTTAATTCTTGTCCAATAGTAAGCCAGCTTTAGAGGGCTGACCTGTGAGGGAATGTAGAGCCAGAAAATGGATCAAGCTCTAATGGGCCATGTTCAGACCTGACATTAACAAGTTGATAACACTAAGTAAAAGTGGTAGGTCTGAGGAAGCATTTCAGAGCCCATCATACACATGGTATTTTGAGGTAGTCTGAGACGTATGTGGCCACATTCTTTTAGCTGTGTGAACGCTGCATTGAAGGACTGTGAGCTCAATTTTCCAATAGTAACCAAGCTAACACACTTGCTGAAAAGCAATTAAGCAGCCATTATCAAGGAGGTTAACGCAATAGGTTTTCTTCACAGACAAAAAATGGAGTCTGAGATGCTATTGTGAAGAGTGCTAAGCATGTACCAGCTCATATAATGTAATGTACAATAGTTTTTGATGGTTTGTCTTTTGAAGTAGTCATAAAGCTTCTATAATCAAAGTTCTCATGGATATGTGAAGATAACTTTTGCTATAGACCTAAATATTTTACTATTTATTTTGATGCTCCTTAAAAACAAGAATAATATGCAGGATGTGATGAACCAGGGCCCCACAGTTCTGGAAAGGTGGTGGAAAAGTAAGTGTGGAGGTCTGCTCCCGATGAGCTGATGAATGTTTTTAATACCAGACTGCACTGTAAAATGGAAAATGTTATGGACAGGGATCACTAACCTTTTTCCATAATTGAAACAATCTCAACAGTCGGTTGTTAAATTTCACGATCTCATCTGGCTCTAATCAACGGCACTTATCAATGCAGGAAAGAAACAATAATTCGGAGAAGCTTTGATTTGAGGCTGCTAGTGCCAGTCTATTCCGGTTCTGTCTTTCTTGTCTATAACAAGCTTGTACATCATCTTCAAGAAATATAACGGTTGGATACCTTTTTCCACAGCAGCCTGTCCAACCACTCCACACTGAACACTGGTGCTCCCTCCACAAAGTAAGAGGAGGGGGAGCAGACTCAGCTCAGCACTGTCAACATTTCACACCCCATTTAGACGGTCTGCTTCACACTTGTGATCCTACTGATCCCGCTCACATTGTTTGCAGTCAGGCATATTGTTTGTTTGTCTTGCCTCGCACTTCTAAAAGGAAGAACATTTGCTTTGAATAAAGAAACCAGGCAGGCAGACGGCAGGCCAGTGAGGCACAACGCTGGAGGAGGCTGAACATCAGTAGGGGCTGCGTTCTATGACGATATACCTCAACTCAACACAGAAAATTGGCTATTGTTTCATATCATGTTCCTTCTAAATGACACTTTTTAACCACAATATTTTCTATTAACTGAACAGTGATTTGCGTTCTACCACAAAGCACGGATACATGCGGTATATCTAGTTGGAAGCAACACAATTTAACAGGAGGTGCACTTCAAACAGTCAAGACAAAACTAGAATCTTGTTGCTAAAAGAAACGCTAGTTCTACTGTTAAAGAGAATCATAACCTGCTGTTATGATAGTTTTGACTGAATTCGTATTATATACATTTATTTATATATTTACTCAAAAACGTACACAAAGGCTCAAAGAAAAGAGCAAATTAATCAAATAAGATTGAGTAATGAGTTAGAAAATAATTCTAAACATTATTAGAAATAGCCCTTCCCACAAGGTCATTTCAGATTAGGGCCAGGCCAATTTATCAGATAAATGGAGAGATCCATATGAAAATCCTTATTTTACAGAATAAAAAATAAAGACAAGATGTCCATCAATGTTTACATTTTGCATGAGAAATGTTTGTTTTTACTTTAAGTTCTATATATTTGGCTGTATTTATATATATATTTTTTTTTTTTACTGAAAATAATTATGGTTAAACTGTAAAATATCGGGGCTCACATTTCTTTCATTCATAAGGGCTGATATGACATCTTAGAAATTAATATATGTATAATTTTTCTAACTAAGCAACTATTTTTCAAAAAATATATACACATATACAGTATATACACATATCTGTGTTGTACATTATTTACTCCCTAATATCAGTATCAGAGCTGGCCCCCAAAAAATCGATCAGGCTCTATTTTACACAAATTAAATATTCATAGAATTGAAAGAAAATGTGTTATATTTTGATATGTATTGCTACCTGAATATGAAATCTATTACTGAGATATGAGAATTTGAATAGGAACAAATGATTAAAGCTAACAAGGCTCCAATTACATGTCGACCTCAGACTCTTCACTGACAATCCCTATCGTACCTGCTGCTCTGTACAGGATCTTGGGCTCAAAGAAGATACATGGATTCTTGTCGTTGATGCAGGAGAGGAGCAGCCCCTTGGCCTGCACTGGACCACGTGGTATTACAACCTGAAAAATACAAGAAACACGTCTTTTGGTCAAAATATGCATGCTGCAGAAAAATAAACAGTCCTATTGTGAGATTTATAAATGTTTATTACTTTTAACAAACAGAAGATATACAAATATAACAATCAGAGACATTTGAAGCCAAACTCCTTAACCACAGCAATATTTGCGATTGTATGATATTAAGTTCAAAACTGGGGTATGATGACAACACTGGACCTCAGATGGAGCTAAAAGTGCTGATAGTATGCACTAAGATTAACATTTATCAGGCTGACCTTTGCTGAGAGACAACATGTTTATTGCTCTCAGCTGGGGTTACTCACAGTGGATCAACTGTGGCTGTAAACCACACAGACATTTATGTGTTTTTACACATCATTTTCTTAGTCACATCCTGAGGGCTTGTTAAAATGTGATATGTTCCTTTGTGAAATCATTGACCTCCACAACCTGGTTTGTTCTAAGCTAAGTGCTATACTTTGCCAAGTTGGAGCACGAAAACAGCTGTGCTTCCACTTCCCGAGGAAATCCAAACAGCGTGATTGGTTGTCACCATGCAGGTACTCAATGCTGCCCACTAGAGGACATAATCCACCTCAATCGGTTGCACCACTAGGTATCTTTTCGAGTTATAAATAGTGTTACATGGAGCTCTGATGTTATGGGGAGATTACATAGACAATGAAAGGACTGTTGCACCTGCAGTCTTTGAAATAACATCCAAACACTGGAATGTCTGTCCCTTTATGGTAAAAAAGTATAGCTTGACTTAGGATCCAGCAGAGACAACTTTGAAAATGTACCTTCACCTTCAGCAAAGCTGTAGGAGGTCAGAACATACCCATCCTCAGGAAAATGTTATCACAGATAAGATAATAAAGAATCATGAAAGAACACATGGAAAGTATGGAGACTATACTGAAGGCTTGGGGATGCTCAACACTATGGGCAGTCAAAGTAGTTCCAGTGAATTGTGTGCTAGTTACAAAATCTGTCCTCACTTGACTTTTTGAAAAAAATGACAGCCCGAGAATTGACTGACTGACATCATTGTTTTATGAAACCTGTGTTTACACTGTGCACAATCAAACAGTTTTCATTAGGACTGAGGGAGCAACTGAGCAAATAACGCATTCAGAAATTTAACAGGCTTAGAGTGAGAAACTAACTCTCTCTGTGATCACTCCAGAGCTTTTCTATAGGCGCCAGCTGCCTGCCAAACAGCAGATGACTGGCTGAAGTTCAGCTGGATACTGCTCCACATCTTTGTGGCGAACCCTGTCACTCATTTTAAATGATGATACAGCTCAGCTGTTGTCATTAACCTGGATTTATTTAGATTTGGTCAAAAGACATTGCAATCATAAAGATATCATTTGCTCATCTGGCTTTCTGTCCAACTTGGATTTCTAACTGGCAGGATGAGGAGTTTGGAAGGGACGGTCGAGTTGCGTCACTACATGCCTCAGAAAAGAAGAGATCTAAGAATCCTTTCTTTTTTAACTCTCTACATAAACAGGATGAGTAGAGAGCCAAATTACTACTGATGCCAGCCAACAAAGAAATATGTGGTGGTGGAGGAAATGGTATCTTGGGAATGATTTTTCTTCTTTAGGATTAGATACTAGTTTTCATTTAACCAGCCTCCTTGTTTCTGCCACCATAGTCTCATTTTCTCTAGTGATGCTAACAGCAAAGAATTACAATTTCCCAATTCCCCTTGGTAATTTTGTCTCTAAGATAATTTGAGAATTTATTCATTGATTTATTGTTAATTGTCAGTTCTATATATAGACATATAGATATCATATTATCTATTGTATTATGTCTTACAGTACAGTATTTGTACAAACCATCAAATTATTATATTATTGTTATTTTCTTGTTTTATCATCATAACTATTATTATTATTATGAGTAACAGCATTCTATTGTACTGTTCTCATAATATAGATATTTAATATGCAGCTCATATATCCTGAACCATATTGATGCATTGTTTACTATTTATTACATCACAAAATTTCACCCCTTACTTGCTAGCACATATTTTTGCTAATGTGAGCTGTGCTCATGATGTGGTCCATAACATTGTTACTGTCTATGTAGACAATCAGACCACATAGTTTCAGCTGCAGTTGTGGCATCATTGTAGTTTCTCTCATGTGAGAATTTATCTTTCACTCTTTAGTCTGTCTACCTATTACTCCGAATCTATTGTGCGTGAGTGTCCTTCAGGCACCCATGCTACTGCCATAGATGAATTAATTCTGTGGGAATCGCTGGCTTCACTGAAGATAAACCAGGTTGAATAACTTCACTATAGACTGTATATAAAAAAAATCTGCACACCACTTCCAGCACAAAAACAACAAAAAAGTGACAGTATAGTGTAGGCCTGTTTCAGGACGACTCACTAATGAAAAGGGATAATTGTGAAGATGGCTCCAGAGCATTTACACAGGCCAAGCTAACAGCCCATTCCAAAATACCACTGTGCTACTATAACTGATAACAATAAATATGGACTGCACATGTGTTATAAGTCCATTTCATGAACCGTAATGTTCTGCAAGAGTACTTATGAATATGTATTTGGGTACGAAGTGACACTGCAAAAGTGCTCAAACAAGAAAGACTGGGAAACAAATACCAGTGAGAATCTGAATTGAACTGCATGTCTGACCTTGATGCCGGGGCAGTGGGCGAAGAACGCCTCTGGGCTTTGAGAGTGGTAAAGTGATCCGTGGCCGACACATCCCCACGGAGCCCGAATGGTGAGGTTGCCGCAGTCAAACAGGTTGCCAGAACGGTAGCGGTACTTGGCTGCTTCATTGACTATCTGGAAAGAGACCAGGAGTGATTCAGGTTAATAGGAATGCTGCAGACGGTTTCAATGTGCAAAAATAAAATAAAACATTGTAACATCATAGAGTGAGGTTTCAGTGTTTCCCAATAAATATATACACTGATGAACGAATTATTCAAGTTGAAAATGTTTACTGATGTACATTTTAATTTGGATTAAAAATAACATGTAAAATCAAAGAAAAAAACTAAAATCACAGGGTGATCCAACTTGTGTGACTTTTATCACAGCAACTCATAATGTTAGTGTCCATGTGCCAGCATGCACACCCGAAAACCTCTGGGCATACTCCTGATTGGCGAATGGTGTCCTAGGGGATCTCATCCCAGACCTGGATCAGGGCATCAGTGAGCTCATGCACAGTCTGTGGCAGGATTTGGTAGCGTTGGATGCATTGATACATAACGTCCCATAGGTGCTCAATTGGATTAAGGTCAGGGGGAACGAGAGGGCCAGTCAATGCCTCTGTCATCCAGGAACTGCCGACACTCAGGCCACATGAGGCCGGAAATTGTCCTGCACCAGGAGGCACCCGGGGCACACTGCACCAGCATAGGTTCTGGCAATCTCTCTGAGGATTTCATCCCAATACCTAACAGCAGTCAAGGTACTGTTGGCAATGACATGGAGGTCTGTGCGACCCTCCAAGGATTCGCCTCCCCAGATGATCACTGACCCACCACCAAACCAGTCATGCTGGATGATGTTACAGGCAGCATAACGTTCACCACAGCTTCTCCACTCTTTTGCGCCTGTCACATGTGCTCAGTGTGAACCGGCTCTCAGGTGTGAAGAGAACGGGGCGCCAATAGCAGACCTGCTAAGTCTGGTGTTCTTTGGCAAATGCCAATCAAGCTGCACAGTGCTGGGCTGTGAGCACAAGTCCCACTAGAGGTTGTCAGGCCCTCATGCCAACCCCATGGATTATGTTTCTGACAGTTTAGTCAGAAACATGCACACCTGTAGCCTCCTGTTCATCCTCGCAAAAAGGAGCCGATACCGGTCCTGCTCCTGGGTTGATGCCCTTCTACGCCCTGTCCAGCTCTCCTTGTGTAACTGCCTCCATGTGCTTCAGATTGTGCTGGGAGACACAGCAAACCTTCTGGTGACCACACGTATGGATGAGCCTTCCTGGAGGACTGGACTACCTTTGCAACCTGATCGGGCTGCAGATACCGCCTCATGCTACCAGTAGTGACAAGGAGACTAGCAAAACACAAAACTAAAGAAGTACTAGTCAGGAAGGATAAAGAGAGAGCAGCCGTCTGTGGCTAGCACATGAAAAACCATTCCGTTTTTTGGAGCTTGTCTTGATTTTGCTTCTCTATTGCACCTGTTGTCACTTTAATTTGCACCTAAGCAGGTGAAACTGATTCATTATAACTTGTGCTTCTGAAATGGACAGATTGATATCCCTAAAATTTAACTGACTTGCTACTATACTGTGACAATTAAGTGTTCCCTTAATTTTTTGGAGTAGTGTATATATATGTGCAGCTCCATTTGCAGCGTGCTCACTCGCTCTGTCTTGCTATGGTCCATTATGTTCTCACCATCCACGCTGACAGTCCTCATACTTTCTCATGCGAAAACTTCTTTTTCACTCTGCAGCCTGTGTTCCTGTTTTTATAATTTGTTGCGTGTGAGTGTGACCTTTGTGCACTTTCACTACAGTTACCACTGTACATTGAATTAATTCTGTGGGAAATGCTAGTTTTTGTGAGTATAGTGACTTATTAGTATAGTGAATTATTAAAAAATGATTAAGAGAATCTTCTGTTTTCATGAAAAAGACCACAGCAGTGGACAAAGGGATGAGGCTTCAGTCTCTGCTTTGCCTCTTAAAGCTTTAAAACTGGACTTTATTTTTAACGAGCACAATCACCTCAAGTGACTGGTTTCTTTTACCTACTTCTACAGTTTTTGATACTAGACTTTCCTCCCTGAAACTCAGATGGGCTGTTAATTCAGCTTTTATTTCTCTCTAAGGTCAGTTTGGATGTCATTATTTTAAGTGAGAGCACAGAAAGAGAAAGGGGAAGCCCACTCAAGGACGGACACTAGATTAAACCCACTGTATCCAAAGCATTGTAGCAGAAGTCTGTTAGAAACCAGCTGCATTAGCACAAATATTCTGTTTTATGTTACCATGATGTAGCAGGGGCTCACATTCATCTTGAGAATACACAGAATGACACTAGTGTCAACAAGTACAGTATGCATGGCACAGCAGTACGACCCACTGTCGTGCTTAGCCTGTTGATGGCACATTAATCTTCCTTCGTTCAGTCGGTTAGTAAGGACATTCTCCAGAGTTTCTCCAGCCAGCTGAGCCCACTAGTAAAAACTAGTGAGTGAGCCCATGTGAGAAAAAAAGCAGGAGAGAGGATTCACAGTGAGCCAGTGGGTGTGTTGATTATGTTTCTCACACATGACACACCCAAAACAGAAAAAAAAGAATACAAACATCTCAGGGTGAAAAAGACGAGCCATACACATAAAAGACCGACAATTGTGTCAACTTGGAAAGATGAGATTTGAGAGCTTTTGGTGAAATGGGCCGACACCGTTGTTAATGTGCTGTAAACAAAAACATGTGATCTCCACAGCAGAATAAATACATTCCATCTTGCCTTTTGCATGTCACGCCACCCCTCGCTTTAATACTCTAGAGATTTTATGTTATGTGGACACTCTCTGGAGTTCATGTCTGAAAACAGCTACGGCCTTTTTCCCCTCTCTACCTTTCTTTGCTTGGTGTTTGTGAAGGTGCTGATTTTTTTTTATCTCAGACTATAGGCCTATGTGTGGACCTCATCAATTATACACAAATAATACTGCAAACACACAAGGTATTACTACATTTATACAGAACAATGACATGGATTCAAACTAAATATTACAGAATTATATCATATCCTTGACTGTTGGACTGATTTCGAATCACTTGCATTATAACATTTATTAGTGCAAGGCATATCATCTTAGTATCAGAGCATAGCATAATGTATTTGCTACGTTAAGCATAACACTGTGGATTAGAGAGATAATATTGTTGAGTTGGCAGCTTTGTTTACAACCTTTTTACAGGCTTTTTACAGTTTTTGCCTTCAGCTTCTAGCATATGCTGATTTTAGAACAGTTAGGCCACTTTAGGTCACAATGCATGTTGATATCGTTTGTCTCAGGACTGACAAAAACATGGGTGTTCTTCCGCCCTTTTGTTATTTCCATCCTTTTACTATTAAGGCTTTTTCCAATGCAGTTCTCATCATGTATTGGGTGATGCAAAGAGGAGCTATCATGTTCCCATGGAGTCTGTGAGGTAGTCAGGGGCTTCATTTGATAAAGGGAAAAACGCTGGAAATATGATGATCTTAATGATCATAATGATGTGATATTATTAAAAAAACTTAAGTCTTTAAGCTATCAGAAAGAAAAAGAAAAACTGATATCACTGGAAAACCAAACTTGTGCTGATTCCACAGGGTTTAATTAAGTCAAATTTAAGACTTTAAGACCATCATTAACGCAGCTGAAGACCAATTTCGCTTCTATGCTGGTAACAACCCAAAAAAAGCTAAATCTGAGTCCAAGAATTACTTGCAATGCTGCAATGATTTATTCATATTCAACATGAAAATGACACCACAGAAGTGTTTGCATACATTGTAACTGTGTGTGTGTGTGCGTGTGTGTGTGTGTGTGTGTGTGTGTGTGTGTTCAATGGTTCTTTTCTCGCTGCGTTTTGTTAAAGCAGGATCAACACAAATTTGTCCCCAAAAAACACTTACAAGTGAGACTGAGGTTAATGCTACTTTATAAAAGTATTAATTTCATTATCCAGTCACTGTTTAAGACATGTAAAAATCAACATTTCAGGGCCTAAAATCAAGATTATTAGATTGCCTGTACAATGTCTGTGCGTCCTTGTTTCTTCTGCATGAGGACATTTAGCAGGAAAAGCGTGATTTCCTCAACTTGCTTCTCCATAATCCAACTCTGTATTTGATGAAATACCTGGAAAGTACTAGCAAGTGTGATCCACTGCTTAAAGAGAGATTCCTCCTGGAGCAAGTTATGAAAACACAAACAGATCTGGTCTTGTACGGACGCTGTAGCAGTCTGTGCAGTATGAGCCTTTTTTTACGACACATTTGAACTTATCAGGGAAAGCACAGGTGTAACTAATTACAATAATAAAAAAATGAGCTCATCTCAATGGAAAAGAAAGTTGTTTTGAATGCCATAGACTGTACCTGCACCTGTGCTCGTCCTGTTACAACAAGCCAACATGTCTGGTGTGAAAGAGGTTGGCCAACCAAGGCAGCAAACTTTTACCTGGTCAAAAGCAGGAAAGATGTAGTCAGCAAACTGGATCTCAGCGATGGCCGTGGCACCAGCGACGGCTGCACCAATACCAAATCCCACAATCCCCTGCTCACAGAGGGGAGTGTTGAAGACTCTGTCCTTGCCTGGGGAGATAACAGAAGAGAGGAGTTAAAGAGAGATTAAGTAGCTGGAGCACTAATAGGAAGGAAACTGACGACTCGTCTTTGTATGGACAGAAAACTTACTCTCACCTGAAAGTACGGACCAAGGTTCATATCTTTTTTAACAATGCTTACATTTGATCTGGTTATCTGGCAAGCTTAATACTTTTGCATGACATCTTCAAGTACATCTACCTATACTTGACATTGATTGGACAGGCATGAGTCTGACCTCTGTGTGTTGTCCATTCAGCTATTGTATTCACTATTTTTTTAAATAAAGATCATAGAAAAAAGTAATCTTTACATTTGAATGGAGAAAATGAATCAACCCGTTTGCTTCGTTGTCACTGTAATATCACTATGGTATTATTACCAGCAAAATTAAAAGTCTGAACTCTACAACAAAAAGCTTTCAGATAGGTCAGATATAATTTTGGTCCGTGGGTCTGGACCGTGGTCTGAGACACCTTTCACACCTGTTATTTTGGTTCAGACTAAACTGGAGAGTCCAATGGTCAGGACCAAAGTTTAAAGTGTGGTCAACTGAATCTGATTATTTATTTCCGATAACAATTTCAGAGGGTATCTAAGGACGAGCAGGGTTTTTGATAACAGGAGAAGGTCCATGCTGCACACTTATGCGATGAGATTGCAAAGAATACTCTCACTTAAAATGCCATGCGGTCCTAAAATAAATTAAGTGACAAGCTGATGACACCTCTTCAGCTGTAGCCAACCAAGCCTGTGATGAACACACAACCCCCATGAAGTCAAAACACAAACACTAAGAACTATTTTCCATTCTCCACCCTATAATACAGCAAAGAACCACAAGAGTGGGTGTCTAAAATTGGACTGAGTGTGTTATTTTTGCTTTCATCTTCGTGTATTTGCTAATCCGGTCTTATGCTGTTTGGGTTTCTGTTGCTTCTCAGCAGTGAAAACCATGCCCTTGTTTGCCCTGCTTTGTACTCACAAAGTTCAATGAGTGACCACAGCACCGCACACCCTCCGAGGAATGAACAATTAAGTAATCAAAATTTTGTGCCATGCTGCTCAGACTGAGCCAGCCTCGCACATGCGGCTTCATGTGAAAGTGAGGCTAAATACCAACAAGTGCTAATTCAACTCATGAAAGATAGCACAATCAATGGATGTTACATAAAACAATGTGCAACTGTGAAATTTACTGTTGAGTTGATGTTCGTCCCTCAGTTGTTCACATGTTTGGGTAACCTTTATAGTTGGCATGTGACACCAACTCTGCTTTCAGTGCAAAAATGGCTCAACACATTAGTGAGAGGGAGAGTCGCTCACATCAGAGTCAACGAGTGCTGCGTTTTTTCAGGGAAACGCTCCGAAGTAGCCAGTAACCTGTGACGAATGCATCTGCTTTGTAATATAAAAGCCACTTATGTATTGTGCAACCTGCATTAACCTCTGTTCTGTACAATGGCTGCGGGTGGCAAGAGGAGTGCAGGGCCCCTTTCAATGATGAGGGGGATAAAAACAGCTTAGCATCTGTCACTGTACGCAAGGATGAGATGGAAAATAATGATCCCTCTACAAAAAGGTCAACACGTCTGACGTCAATGAAAACAAAAGGCAAGGCCAGCTACTGTAGGATGGATTTGAGACTCCTCGCCATCAAAAACACAGAAAATAAGCCAAAACAAGACAAATGTATATCTATAAAAATAAACATAATTCAAGTACTGTTGTTTTATGGCTTCAAAATTATGTTTTGTGTCACATTAACATTTAGCTGAAGAAATATTGGTGTTTGCAGAGTGGTTGTTCCCAGATTTACTGAAAAATTATATTTGATCAGATTTGTGTGTGTGTATATATATATATTTCCATAAATCCAATATGTTTCCATGCATCTAGGAGTTATTAGCTATAACCACTGACTGTCATTCGACTCAACACCAATCTAGGACATGCTCTCAGCCTGGTTCATGTAGAAAACTCCCTGATTTTAGTCATTAGTAGATCTTGTACCCAAAAGATATGTTCTGCTACCAAAACTGCAGCTGTATGCTTATTTCAAAGGGTAAATCATCATTAAATAATACAGGACATATGTATAGTTTGATAGCTAAGTAAACAGCTAGTGCATTCCTCTCAATGGGTTCATACTTAAAAGCAACCCACAGTAGAGGTTACATCTCAGATTACATGGACAACATTTGACAGAGGCGTGTTAATAAAAACATTCTATTTATCTGCTTCAGTTTTAAACTGATTTGGTGCATGCTGCCCTGTCACGACCATCCTGGACACTTGAATCATGAAACAGATCCATTGTTCATTTTCTTAGTAACTTCTGCACTTTTTCTTGAGTTAGACGATGAGTTACATGTCTTATGTGAGAAAGACAGATTTACCCTTTAAAGGCACAAATAGCTAAACGAGTATATATAATATATAATGGTAACTAACAAACTGGGCCTGGAATGCACCATAGACCTTCCGACAAAGTGATATGAACTATAATAATGAGAAAATCTGTTGAGAAAGATGATCCACCTGTAGGATTTTGAAAGTAAACTACACAATTTTGAAAAAAATGTGTTCAAAATGAACTTAGAGCAACGAGCACTGCCACAAAACATCAACTTAATGGATCGACTTTGTAAGGCTTCACTGCTACAGTGGACAAACGAGTACAAACAGATCCTTATGATCCTCCGGATGAACAATGAACAGTGATATGGCAGAGCTCCAGAGTGCGTCCATTTTGGTCGCACATGCAACCAAATATCTGTGAAGTGCGACTTAACAAATTCCTTGGTCACACCGATGGGCCAAACATTTAGCTGGTGTGTTTCTATATTTAATCGAGTCAAGTCTCGATCAAATAGTCCTCTCGACTCTTCCTTATCTCCTCTGCGGAGTTTACACACACACACACACACACACACACACACGCACCCACACCCAATTTCAGCACGTTTCGAGCCAGCGGCGCCGAGTTATTCACCCTAAGGTGATTAGGGTTAGGGCTGAAATGAGGGTNCACACACACACACACACACACACACACACACACACACACACACCACAAGTTATTAAGACCTAAACAGTTCTGAAAGTTTACTTTGTGTTTGTATGATTTGCTCAACACATACACACACAGACACACTATGCTTTGTATGGCTGCCTGTGGTTTATGTTTTATGTATTTGGGTATTTTAATATTTAAATTCTAATTCAGAAAAAAATTCTGACTGAACAGTCTTTTGAATGAAGTTCATTGCTCTTTGAAAGCGTGTACTTGCACTGACTAAGCTATAATATCATTGCACCAGCGGTTTCACAATGATGATAATAATATAATTGGTTGCAATAAATTCTGGGACAAAATATCATACAACAAAATATGTTATTTTGACAGGCCTACCTTAAAACATTTTAATAATCAGCAAGTGAGAGGTTTCCTTGTTCAGTTTACAGCTTTAATTCTGAGAATTTCTTTCATATCCAGGCAAAATTGGTATTGTACAATGAAATATTTGAATTTCCCTACGGGGATTAATAAAGTATTTTTGATTCTGAATATCCTTAATGCAATTGATTTTCAAACAAATCAAATTGAATCTAACCCAGCTTTAGTGAGAATTTACCAATGTACATGGGAACTGTCAAGAAAGGTTAAAAGGGTGCATTTTTGCAGCATTAAAGGTGCAGCGAAAATGTTTGGGTGCACCTAAATGAAACCAATGTAAAACGTTAGTCTGGAGACCTGTATGGTCTTGTTAGAGGAGGTGGTGAGACTGTGCACAGTCCTATGCTGCCATCTAGCGGGAAAAGTCAGGTAAAGCAGACCAGAGAACAGGTTAATGACTCCAATAGCAACTCAGTAATGGTGACTTGGTGGTGGAGTGGCTTATAGGGGTTAAAAGGTGGAAAAAAACATCTTACCATATTTGTCCCTCAGACCCACTGTGCATCGGAATACTCCACCGAAGGCAACATCTTCCCCAAAGATGACTGTAGATAAACACAAAACACAGTCTGTGATAAAGGTGCATGTTCTTCAACACACAACAGAATATAGAAAAATATTTATATTAAAAAAAAAATCAGAAGTCTCTGATTGGCTCTCGTGACACGTGGCAAAGTGAACAAACCGATTAACTTATGATTCCTGTTATTCCAGAGTTGTCAGGCGGGGCAGGCAGCGTGTTCCATAATACAATAGCATTTTGTATTCCCACTTTCATTTTTTGAAACTAAATTTCCAAGAAGTGAACCACATAAAAGTAATTCATGTAGCATCTCAAACCCTTAAAAGAAATGTCAGGCCGAATCCAGGTGGTGGTAGTCGGGGATTGCCTTGTGTATATTCTGTGAAACTTACACAGCCTCGAGAACTGTGCCAAGTCAGTTGATCACATGGTATCATATATTTAGACATTTAGTTGCTCTGTTGTCATCTTGATAAGCTTTTAGAGAAAGCGTTAGAGACGTTAGACCAAAGGCACCTGAGGATTTATAGATGCAAACAGCTAAGCGCTACAGTAAGCCTACATCACCATAGATCATGTTTGAAAGAAAGGATAAGAGTGAGGAAACCTGTCAGGAGGGTCGTGATTGCAGCCACACTGATAAAGTTATGTGTGCCACTGGTTATGACCACCGACTCTAATGATTTCACCTTTGTCTCAGATAAATTCTTGTCATTGTGTAACTCTGGCAAAGTGGACAGCTCCAGCTTTCAGTCCTACATTATCCAGGATCCGGTTACCAATGCTATACAGAACAAGCTGGCCAGACGTGCAAATAAGAGCAGTAGAGAATTTAAAATGTTCAACTGTAGGTCCAAATTATGCATGACTGTGAAACAACATGCATAACAATCAATCTCATAGGATCCTACCTGCTGTGGGATCGCTGGCGAGTGTGTTGTCCAAGGCACTTGTGATTGACTGGAACAAGTTCATCTTCTGTGTTGGTCCTAAAAGTTTCAAAATGAAAAAAATAAATAGGAGGAAAAAACATTTTGATGGACTTGTTATCATACAACAGATTTGGCTGAGCATGATCAAAAGTGACTGTACCAGTTGTTGCAGGTAAGAAACCACATTCCAGATGGTTGACAATGAATGTAACTTAAATCAATGGATCAGACACTGGTTGCAATTGTTACAGCAAAGGAAGTAATAATAATCATAATGTCTGGTCTGGATTATCTTTGTAATGTGTGCATGGTAACATCCAATTCGAATATAGTGCAGAATTAACAGTTAACTTATTCGGGCCTGCCTCACAAACTTACTTCATTTGACATTAGTTATCAGGTACCTGTGAAAAACACAGAATCAACTTTCCCAGGAAGCTGACAAGCGAGGAAAACTTGCCTCCATGTGTATTCACTTTCCCAGAAGCCAGCAGTGAATAGAAGTGATCTGAACCAGCCACAGAATCTGGACCACACCACTCTCTCGTGAGAGTAGTCTATGTGAAGGGGTCTTTGCTGCAGTCATGCTTTTCTAACAAGGTATGAACGGGTCACGTGTTCCAGCTGCTGAACACACATTTCAATAAACAAACCTTGTTTATCTGTGAGTGACGTTAGCAACCTTGACTATTCCGGTTCGACCACTAAATATACAGTCACCGCACATGCAACTCTGTCATAAGACCTAACCACTAAATGTCCATGATGCTCTTGAGTCATTAGTCTTCATTATTGTTAAACTACCGACACTTCCAGTGAGACACAACTCGCTCACGTTAATGTTAGCCAAAGTTAGCCGGCTAGCAGCTAGCTCCTCACCATGGTCTGTGGGGACGGGGTCCGGCTGGTAGGTGAAGTGCGCTACGTGTCTCCTCTGTGTCCTTGTGCGGGAGCTGCAGCTCGGCGACGCTTTGAGCAGCGAGGCCCCGGCGGAGCTGTGAGCCCCGCTGCCGGCACCGAGGAGGGGAAGTTTCGAGTTAGCGCCTCGGAGCAAGAACCGTGCGGCGGCCGCCATGATTGTTGGTATTGATGAGCAGGAAGGGCACATGCATTAAAGTGCTGAGATCGTCTAGAAGAGTGTGAACACCACTCCGACTGAAATGTAATATATTCCGGTACCAAGCGACTTCCGGGTTATTTCCCACTTCGTGCTGGCTAGTAATACTTCCGTATGCATCCAGGTTTATAAGCAAGACATTTGCATTAAATAATAATGTAACTTCAGAAGAATATATTCAGTCAGAATATTTTTTTTAACATGTAGAAATGTAATAAATAGATGGAGCCCAATGACTATGTTTTAACAGCTGATTGTGGCAACGTGCCCTCGTGGTACAAGGGAATAGCTTCAGAGTGAGACCTCCTGTTTAGTTGTCACCATACCATCCTCCTCGAGCATATAAAGGCTGCGATTGGTGGAAAAGGAGGGCGGTGCGCGAGGCGAGGCGTTCTGCTACACGGGACTGCGCGCGCACATACAGCTGTGCTCGCGCCTCGCGTGGTGGTTGTGTTCATGTATTTACATGGGGACTGAGTGACACACACACACACACACACACACACACACACACACACACACACACACACACACACACACACACACACACACACACACACACACACACACAGAACTAATTCTAACCCTTCATCAGAAATACTTGAGGTTCTAGAATGAAAATGGTTTTCATACAGATATCTGTACAAGACGAAACACGTCTCCATGACCTCAAGGGACACTTGATTGACTTACATTGATTTCCTGGAGACTTGCTCCGATCTTAAGTGTATACATCCCTAACTCTTACCCTACCTTAAACTTAGCCTCACCCTAAATTGTGCCTTCACCTTAAAATTGGATTAAGGTTCAGTGTGTAGAATGTAGTGATAGAGGGGAAGTTTCATGTTGCAGCTGAATACTCCTCATCTCACTCCCTCACTGAAAGTAATTAATCAATTAGTTTAGGGACAAGTGCGATCATGCAATCACTGTGGCCACCCCAAAGCTTTGGTACACTTTACCATTTACAATTAAGCCCCCCCTTCTATAGACTTTCAAGGTTAAAGGTCCAGTGTGTAAGATTTAGGTGAAAGGGAACTATTGGCAGAAATTGAATGTAGAATAATCCTCATGATGTTTTCACTTGTTTATTTCATCTAAATTGTATGAATTGTAGTTTTCTTTACCCCAGAAAAGTCCCTTTATATTTACATGGAGGGGACCCTCTCTACTGAGGCCGCCATGTTTTTTACATTAGTCCAGACTGAACAAACTAAACACATTTTGAGTTTTTATGACAATTAAAGGCTGCCACAGGTTATTTTTCATGTTTGGAAGAGGAGGGTGAGATGTTCAGCTGCAACATGAAATTCAACATTTTCTTAGGATTTTTTAAAAATGGACTTTTCAGCATTTCTATTTTATGCTTATATTTCTTTTAATGTATTTTTTCTTTTTTTAAACAGCACACCAGTCAATGCTGGCCGTTTTAAACATGCCTTATAAATTTAATTAATTAAAATGTTCAACTCTGTCTGCTGACTGAAGGCACACTGCATATCGCGTGTCCAAATTGCACCAAACTTGGTGCTGCACTACCTCTGGCCAATAAGAATACATAATACATCACACAGGCAATTCGATTCAGGGTATATTTTTGATCAATTGAACATATCCAGGTCTGTCCCACATTTTCTGATTGCATGACATGTTGTCAGTACCCACCCCTTACATCAGCTGAGACAAATAAACCAACAACTCTGAAGGTTACAATATGTTTATCTACTGTCTGCTGCATGCTGACATTTATTGTCAGGGAACATACATAAAAATGGAAAAAATAAAAATGAAGCTATATATTTTGGAAACATACAAATATGGATTAGTCTAATCCTACAAAAGAATAAAGTATATACAGTAGTTCGGGGTAAACAAAAAATAATTCAAGTGTCTATGTTAATATCCACATCTTATTTTCCAGGATGATTAGGTTGTTGACTTTGCACACTCTGCAACATCCAACCTTCTGCCACTGCTGCACATCTTGGCCAAATTCTGTGAAAAGCAGAAAGCTCAGTTATCATTAAAGAAGTCAAACAGTCACACGTATAAAATAATTAGAAGTTCTGAGTCATGCTCACGTTTGCAGCTCGTATGATGCTGTTTGGAGACTGGAGGGCTGCAAGGTCTGTTAGGATCTTCTTCAGATCACTGTTACAGGGACCTTCTGGAACAGGACAGGAAATACAGGTCAGTGTCACAGTCATAGTAAACAGCAAGTATAAAGACTGTGCTTTTGTTTATAAGTGGGAGTTTACCTGATTCGGATGATGCTTGTGGCTTCAGCTGCAGGTATGGATGCTCCAACAGCTCTGCAATTGAGATTCGTTCTCTCGGATTTCGTACCAAGCACCTCTGAAACAAGCAGAAAACAAATACAGTTTATTGATGTCTCATCAGCAACACTAAGATCTGACACTATTCTGTGGATTTATTAAACATCCAGTGTGTAAGAATTGATGTTTTCTTTACCATAGAATGGTCCCTTTATATTTACATGGACGGGGGGTCCTCTCTGTGGAGGCCCGCCATGTTTTTTACTGTCGTCCAAATTGGACAAACTAAAACCTTTTGAGTTTTCATGATAACTGAAGTTCACCACAGGTTCTCTTTCATGTTGGGAAGTGTGTAGCTGAGCTATTTTAAACTTTCTGAACTACTGTATTTCTTCAAATGAATGTAGGTCTATGCACACACCTAAATGCCAGGACTCTACAGCATTAACGTGTGCATCTTCCTGTCCTGCAATATCAATTAAAACCTTGTTAAATCTAATGAATGGATTCAGTCAACAGAAACCAGAGTGATCTTACTTTCAAACATTAAGTGTTGCGATTTTGCTATGAACTGCACACAAAAAAATAGGTGAGACTCCGTCTCTGGAAGAGCAGCGCAAGTTATTCTGGTAAAAAATGACCCTGAGAACGCTGGGTTATCTTGCTAACTACAGACAGAGACAGTCTCCATTATATGTCCCAAGTTCCATACATTTTAGAACATTATATACAGGATATCTTTAGGTGATGGTTGCTAAAGACACATTTTCACATCCGACTATTACAGTTTAGTTATGGTCTCTCACCTTCAGCACATCCAGCAAATCCTTCTCTGAGATGTCAGGGAACTCGATCTTATGGGAAGGATCAATGATGGCGTGCAGCTTGGTAATCTGATTGGTGATGCTTTGGAATGGAGTCTTCCCATAAGTCATACAGTACAGGATGCATCCGAGGGACCACACGTCACCTTTGGGGCTGATCTGTGGCACAGAAACACAGTGCTTTAAATGCATAGGTTCTTTCAAAGATTGTTGAATTGGCAAAAGTGAGTAAAAAATACCTTTGAGCGTGCTTTTCCTGACTGGGATGACGTGTCTTTAATGGCTTCAGGAGGCATATAGTTCAAGGTGCCTACCTGTATTTGACAAACAAACGTGTTATACAGGTGGAGTCTGATCACCGGGTTGTATGCTAACACGCGAGACTGCGTTCAGACCTGGTATCAACATCGGTCAAGAGTGACAAAATCCCAAATGGTGAGCTATTAATACAGGTCTGAACACGTCTGGAGATCTGATCGCTCAAACCACATTTGGAGGTGATGTTGGACACATGTGGTCACATTATTTTCACTGTGTGAACACAAATGCGTACTGGGCCACACAAGAGGACCACCACCTCAACTGCGTCATTTACACCATGTTTTTAGCCTTAAAAAAAAAAAAGAGAGCCATTTTCACGTTCACACACCGCACAAGCTCGCCAGCTATGCTTTCGCCCAAGGGGCACGTGACGACATCGGCAATACTCAGCAGTAACTGCAACTATGCAGCAATTCAACTGGTGTGTGCAGGCGCGATCGTGAACACGGCTCCAGAGGAGGATATCAGAGGACATTTAGGCTAAAACACAGTGTTAATGACTCTGTTGTGAGTTGAATTTGAATGTTGGGGCTTACGGACACTTGGATGACACCAAATGAGCAGTATTTCAACTTTAAATTTGATTCCCTGTGTAACGTGTCATTAACAAAAGCCTTACTTGTGAATCCTTCATGATGCTCGTTACATCAGGCTGGATCCTGTTTGCGATGCCAAAGTCAATCAGCTTCAGTGAAGCATTCACTATGACAAAGTTGGCTGGTTTCAAGTCACTGTGGACTATTCCTGCGAAGAAGATCCAGATATTTGGAACAGTTAAGAATCAAGATCATTTCTGTGTCACTTCTCTAGAAGCTTTACTGGAAATACAAACCATGTTTATGGATAGTATGGACGGCCTCCAGCATATTCTTCCAATAAAACTTCCTCTCCAGGGGATTCACAGTCTTGCGGTTTCGTAACCACGTGTTCAGATCCAAGTTTCCACACTCCATCAGCATGTAGATGTAGCTGTTGCTCATTTCACTGCAAACACACATACAATTCATTAGGAGATCCAAGGCAGAGATTATAAATGTGAGTCCGATGAACTAACATCACCTTTAAAAAGGTCCAGCGTGTAAGATTTAGGTGAAAGGGATTTTTGGCAGAAATTGAATATAAAACAGTTTTCACTGGTGTGTTTCATCTAAATTGTATGAATTGTTGTTTTCTTTATCATGGAATCGGCTCTTTTTATCTAAAAACCTTATATTTACATGTAGGGGGGGTCCTGTCTGTGGAGGCCGACATGTTTTTACTGTCAACCAAACTGGACAAACTAAAACCTTTTGAGTTTTCATGACAACTGAAGTTCACCACAGGTTTTGTTTCATGTTTGGAAGGAGAGGGTGAGGTGAGGAGTATTCAGCTGCAACATGCAACTTCCCCTCTAGATGTCACTAAATTCTACTCACTGAACCTTTAAATCAGGTTAAATCAACACCACAACTTTACAAAAACAGTCAAATAGAGCTGCAACAACACAATTTGATTATTCAAATGAAAGTTAATCACCAATTATTTTGTTTGTTGATTAATTATTAGACATTTTCAGCTTCTCAATTACGAATATTTGATGCTTGTCTTTGACTCTGAATATATTTGATATTTTTGGATATAGACAGCATCAACAATGTAGTGGAGGATGATCATGAAGATAATTGGTTGATGCTGTCCTATAGTTTACGTCATCACAGTGATTCCTGTACAATGCATTGATTATTTTCATTTTTTGAATTGGACATGTACTCACTAGTCATAGAGCTTTATAATTTGATCACTGTACTGCTGCAAGTGGTTCAGATGTTGAATCTCATTCTTATAACTCTCTATAGTCTGAGCATCAGCCTCCTCGAGGTCGACATATTTTACAGCAAACAGCTGCTTCTTGTGATCGAGGACCTGGTACACCTGGAAAAACAAGAAATAAAAAGAATTTAAAAAAAATCTGACAAATTATATATTGTAAAACATCAATGGAAATAAAATATTGCAAAATCCTGTCATGAAACTATTTTCTTTCCTGACATCAATTCACTGATATTGTTTCACCTTGCTTGATCCACCACGTCCAATCATCTTGAGGATGAAGAACTGTTTGTCCTTTATGGTAATGGTTTCATTTGACAGTGCAGGAAAGGAAGCCTAAAATGAGATATTAAACATATTAGATTTAAATATGACATTACCATTTTTTTACGCTGCATTTGCCAAAACATGTGTCCAGACCTCCTCTGATCATGTGACATGAATGAATGTTAATGAAGGCTGTGAAGCTGTCACACAAAATGACTTTCCTGTGAAGTGCAAAACGTGTGTTGGTGGTGAAATGTGATGTTTAAACACATTTAATAACAGATATAACAGGTGCCAGTTAGAGCAGGGACATGTCGTACCTGTGGAGTTTGGAAACAGGTTGTCTGGTTTAGAGGTGTGCATGGCTGCTGAACAGGTCCAGCTCTGTGTGCTGCTGCTGCAGAGGAGAACACCTCAGGACCTCTCTTTACCACAGGAGTGATAAAGCTGAGGGGAGGAACCATGGAGTCAGCGTGACAAGTACAGAGAAATATTTTCTCAGACGTTTAAAACAAATGAAGTGTTACTGATGATCCTCTTGGCCAACAAGGCAGCCAAGTTAAAGTCTTACCTGCTAGCAGGGGGGTTTCTGTAGCTGTTCGGTGTCTGGCAGACTGTCTGTGGGTTCAGTCGAGTTGGAAGCTGGAGGGATGGAGTGGGAAACGACTCCAGCACTCGAGGAACAGGTCTCGGGTCAGGTGGGGTTGTACGTTTATCCTAACAATGAAACAATTTGGAATGATTTGATTAGTGCGAGAGTAAGATTGGGGTAAGAAATTGTGAAAATAATTAAGATTCTAAAACAACTGTTGATTCATTTTTATTGAAATAACTTCAATGTTTGGTGAAAATTCATTGCACAGGCAGCAGCAGAAGATAAAGAAGGTTATCAGACCTCTGGAGAAACATGCCGGTTGATGAGAGTTGGCAGCTTCCACTCTGATAAGGGCTCTTTGCTGGCAGGTTTAGCCCATTCAACTGAGCGGTTCACAGGGACCCGAGCAGGAAGATGAAGCTCCTGGTTTCCGCCATGAGTAGAAATGCTTACTGGAACAACTGTTTGCAAATCTCAAAAATAAAACAGGAGAAATTAGAAACACTTCAATTGGAAACCCTATCCATCGCAGCACTTTGTCCTTTACAAAGAGTCTCTACCTGTGAGTTGGTCCTCCTCCTTGGTGGACACCAGCTGTTTCTCCCCAGCTTTAAGTTTACGTATGGCCACCTGCAGGAGCTCAGCGGGTCTGGCATTCAACGCCTGGGCTTTATGCAGAATTGAGGATGCTTTGATCACATTACCTTAAATAAAGGGAGGAGAAGAAAATGGCATTTTAACTTTTTTGCAGGTAGGATGTCTTTACAAGAGCTCACTTCACTAAGCAAGCCAAGTGTGCACACGTGTACTGTTGTACTGTGACACTAGCAAACCTTCAGCAACCTACCATCAGTTTTAGTGTTGTTATAATCACTACAGAAAACAGTAACTCTACATGTATTCCATTTATTTTAAGTGTGTGCATTTTCTATCCCATGCATCAGACTTGTGGAAAAATTACATTTGTAATAATTCATCATACCTTGAGAGACTTCAAACTGGGCATGTGCTATATGGACAAAGGCAAAGCCTTTGCAGTTGGATCTCGCAACTATGAAGTGGTCCTGTGCTTCATCTGGGTCTTCAATCCTACAGAAAAAGAAATGTCATTACAGAAGACTGGCACATGCATCGATATACTTAATTTTGGAGATGTACCAGCATCGGACATCTGATACTGCTTAAAATGCTAGGAACAGCACTTTGAAGTATTAGTTTCACCCCCATAATCCCAAAATCACTTCTTCACTGTTCCAAAACAGAAGTTGTGCTTTACTGCCACTTGTAAGTTCTGTTTTTAGAGCATCAAAGAAGTGGTGTAGCATTAGACAAAGCAAGCTAAAATATCAGCAATTTGATCATATTTCTCACTGGACCATTCCACAAGTATAACATGCGATGTGTAGCGTATGCTTCACTTTTGAGGGGGAGCACTAGAGTCGCAATTTATACAACACTAGCAATCTCATAATCTAGTTGAACAATCACTTGTAAGAGCACAAGGAGTTCACCGAGGCAGAGGGTTAAACTGCAGCAGCAACCCTTGGAAACTACTTTCAAACTATCCAATAAATCCAACAAAGAGCTCCAAAGCAAATAAGATAACTGACAAACTGGTTGTGTTCATTGTTCTGGATGGCAAACCCTTCAATTGTGGAAAATATGGGATTTCGGCTATGAATGTCAAACTAGAAAATAAAGGAATTTCTCTGGCCTTCATTCTCTCAATGTATTTGTTTAACCTGAGCCACGCTGTACAACAATGATAGAAATAACCTTCCATACAGGGTTAATAAATATGACTGAATAATAAATGTATGGTTTTTAATGCACTGGTTTAATCAGCTGATCTATCCCCTCAGCCACACCCACACTTTGATCCTGTTTTATGGAGATTATGGTGTGTATACACTACAGTACGTGTATTCCATAGGTATTGCCCAATCCTAACCACACTTGCAATGAAAAGCTTCAGAGGGGCAATGCATTCCCTGCATGCACACGCTGTATATATCCCAATCAGGTAATGTCGTGAAAACTCACAGAATGAAATGTCCACTGTAAATGCCAAACAATATCTCTAATGCAGAGTAACAGTGTTGAACCACCTACCCCTTTAGTTCTGCATATCTGACCAGTATTCTGGCGTAGCAGGCGTTTTTGCTGTATTGTCTGATCGGCAGCCTGGAGAAGACTTTAGAATAACAGTCCTTGAGTTTGTTGAGGAGGCTGATGTCTGTGTGTGGGTTCCCCCTTTTCTCGAGATTCATCAGATATGTCCAACACGACTCAGGGTTATTTGTTTTCACGACTTGGTCAAAACTGTAAGTTACATCTGTCAGAGAAAAGCAACACATAGAAAACAGCTAAAACACTATGTGCACAGCTTTAAAGGTTTCATTGACTACTACAATCAGCAGGGATATTTAGTACCTTCCATTCTCGAGGTGTCCTGTGTGTCGTGTGGGTGAAGGAGTGAGGTGGTAGAGTCCACAGCCTCCCATGGGCAATGTTCTGGACTGACAGCTGGTGGCTAAGAACAGCAATAACAGATATTACACTTCTTTCTCCAGCTTACATTTGCCACTTCTGCTGATTAGAGCACTGATAATTTATCAAGTGCCAAGAGCTGATTCTGACATTGCATGCATAACTACTGCAGCATGTTTATACTCACTTGATGATTGACAATATCTCCATCAACAGCATTTCTCTTTGAGGATGACAGCCCAAACACTGAGCTCATCTTAGAACCAGATGTTTGCCTAGGACAAAGTACAT